GGCTGGCCCGGGCGCACGCGGATCCCGGGGTGCTGCCCGTGTCCTGCGCACGGTCCCGGCAAAGCACAAGTGAGTCCGGCCCCAGGGATTCCATCCTGCCCCGGCCCCGCCCCTGCGCCCCCTCGTGTAGTTGCGTACTGCCTGGCTGTAGACACACTCAAGCAGTGTGAGTGTGTTGACCAGCCAGGCAGTTTGCAACTAGGTACTGATACTCCTAATAATAATAAAACTGACCTAATTAGAAAATACCGGATATTTTACATGTCCGGTATTTTCTTAATTTGTTTCCTGGAGGGAGCTCTCAAATACCGGACTGTCTGGTTCAAAACTGAACACCTGGCGACCCTAGGCAGAATCAGAGTTCACTGGACAGCTCACAAGAGACTAGCTCCCATCTTTTGGACCCCCGCCCTGTTTTCTGCCTCCTGTAGCTATTGCAGGGAAGTGGAATCCGGCACCAGAGAAAACTCGTAACAAAACCAGCCAGCCCAACGCCCTGAAGGGGTGTTTGTCTCCTGCATGAAATGACCCCAGCACCTCAGCGATCTGCCCCCCTCAGCTTACCCCTCACTGACTGCTCAGGTAAGAGGAGAGGAGGAGGGCGGAGAAAGGTCCACACAGGAGACGGAGGCCGTGTCTCTCCAGAGGGAGCAGGCATGGCTTGTGCCTCATCCATTGGGTTGGAAAGGTTTCGCTTTGGCTGCTCTACCTTGATCCAGGAGCTAGTTCCTCATCAGTGAGCTGCCAATGTCATGAGGGAGAGCGGGAAGCTGAAAAGAGCCCGTTGCGGGCCAGAGGCAGTTATGTCAAAGACCAGCGGCCCAATGTGAGGAAACCGTTCACAGGGTAACCAGAGGGGATGGCTGCCTCCTCAAGGCAGATTAAGGAGCAGGCCCTAATACCATTGGGAACTTGCGCCCTCCAATCTCATCATTTCCCTCTCCTTTCCCTCACTGGGCAACTTGGCTGGTCTATAGTCCCAAGGGAAGTCAGGAATTGTGCATGGAGGGGAGAAGAAGGGACTCTTCCCTGAGGAAGAAATTCTCTCAACGAGGGAGCTCTTGGATTTGGTGTGAAGGGTGCCTTTACATCAGCGGCCACCATCTTGTGAACCCTGGGTAGTGGCCTGCAAGGAACACTGCAGCTTTCGACCCTATCTCAAAGGAGCAAAGCTGAAAAAACTGTCAGTTAGCAGAAGAACGCCTCACGACTCAGGTTCCCAATTCCCACCTGTCTTAAGGAGGGAAATTAAAAGAGGGAAAATGAATTGGTAGAGGACTTTACCTCAAACTTAAGGAGAAAACTGGTCTGTTCCTCTGTTTCCTCTCCAGTGGGTGCCAGAGCTGAAAGGTCTGCTGGTGAGGTTTTATACTCTGAAATAAAAAGCATAAAGAGACACAGAGTTGTTTATGGGTCTGGTTCTTCAACAAATGTATGTTCATCCTTGTCTTCATGGCCACCACCAGGGAAAAAGGCTACCCAATCTGCTCAGTCATGTTCCACGAGAGGAAAAAAAAAGTCAAGAAGAAGATCCTGACTTTCCCCAGAGATCTCAGTCTCAGAGTCTGAATGACATGTTGATCAAGAATGAATTAAGCAAAGCAAGCGGTTCCGTTCCCAAATGAATCTTTTGAGACGATGTAATGAGAAGGGAGCGGATACTTGGGGTTTCCATCAGATGAGCCCATTAGAAAATATTGCAAGGGAGGAAAGAATTGGGTTGATATATGTGACAAAAATGTATTTTTCAAATGTTTCAAAATTAGAACCCCACATTCCCCTACATGCCTTTTTGGAAAAGGTAATTAAGGCTGAATGGGGAGCACAGGCAACGCCGATGTGCTTGACAAGGCATACACAACAATTCTGCTAAATGCACCACGGCAAAGTAGATATTGGTTCTCATCCCAAAGTGGCCAGGACACTTGCATTTTAATTAGTGAGAGACACGGCTGTCTAATGGAAGGGGATTTTGCCTCCCGAAGAATCCAATGATCGCAGAAGCAGAATGGAACTTTCTCTGTACTGTATGTCTGAGACGGCATCTTCTGCTGAGGGTTTTGCAACATGTTTTGCAAGAACTGTACTAGCCTGGCCTAACAACTGGGCAGCCCGATTGACTAAAAATGGCTAAGAAATCATCGTGGTTAGAATCAGCGTTAAAAACAATCGCTATAGTTTCAGCATTCATCCTGAATGCAGCCAGGAATGCTTTGATGTCCACGGGTTCCAGTGTGGAGAGCAAACTGCACGTCTGGTTCGGAGCCTGGAGGGGCGAGATACAGGCCAAAATCATGTTAGCAGCTTTGAAATATTCAGAATATCACTCATTTTGGGAGCTGTTAGACAAATCTGTGGTGGAATCTTCAGATAAATCAAAAAGATCTTACAGAGTATTTCTAACTCCAAATCCAGGAAGTGGGAGTGTTGCCCCTTACTACATGTCTAAGATAAACTTTTTATGGCTACTCCTCAAAGTCCATAAGGCAAGACTTCAGCCAAAGCAAATGGAACATCTCCAAGCTGGGGAGAGACCAGTTTCCTGCTAAGCAAAACCCAACACTAGAAACCATTCTTGACTACAGCCAGGAAAATTCCAACACATAACACATTGAGGGGAGACTATAAAATTCAAGGACCAATGGCCTTCCTTCGCGTCAGACAGAGGGGTCCTAGATGTGGTTCAACAAAAGCATATCACAGGATTTTCAAAGATTGTGATTTTTCCCCCTTTCTCTACAATCTTCAAATCTACAAAAGAGGCAAAATATGCTAAAGGCCATAGATCCTATTTTGTGAAACAGCACAATGGAGTTCTTAAGGTGGAAATGTTCAGAAGCCACTATTCAGTCTTGTTTCTGGTACCCACGTGACTAGGGAAGACTTAAAACTCCCTGAATAAGTTCATAGAGAGGACTGATTTAAGATGAAGAACTTCAAGCCGTAGCAGTAGCAATCTTACGTCAATGGTCTTTGAAGGATGCCTATCTTCATGTAGCAATTCACCAGCCAAAGGACATTTTGATTCACTCATGGGACTGATAATGTTCTGTACAGTCTGTCAGACTGTCATCTGCACCTCAAATGTTCCCAATAGTTCTTGTTGCTTTGGTGACTTACTTTTCTGAGGCAGGAAGGGTTACAAGTATATCCTGTCCTGAAACGCATTCTAGTCGGAAGAGGGGTCCAGACAAATGACCCAGTGAATGATTAAAAACTTGCAACAGCCTAGGATTTACAGTACATTTTGGAAAGAATTGCCTCAACTCAGAGCCTATTCATCAGGACTGTTGACAGATACAATCCCTTCCTGTCTTGGGAATCTATTGACTTTGATTTTTGTCTGCTTAGGTTTAAGTACCCATTCTCCAGGTACTTAATGATGCTCTGTCTCTCACCCCCCTCCCTTTTTTTCTCTCTCCCCTTCCCTTCCCCTCTCCTATTTATTTTGAGTTTTCATATCCCAAACTCATAACTCCGATCATCTGAAGAAGGGGACTGCATCCACGAAAGCTCATGATACCATCACATGTTTTGTTAGTGTATAAAGTGCTACCAGACCATTTGTTGTTTTTTTCTGTAAGGGTATGTCTAGACTACATCCCTCTGTCACCAGAGGGATGTAAATTAGACACACCGAAATTGCCAATGAAGCGGGGAATAAAAATGGCCGCCGCTTTTTGCTGACACAGCACTTTGCTGGCAAAAAGAGGCAGTCTAGACAGGTGTCAGTCGACAAGGAAAGCCTTTTGCGACCGATCCCTTATACTTCGTGCAATGAGGTTTACAGGATCGGTCGGAAAAGGCTTTCCGCATCAGCAAGAAGCGGCGGCCATTTTTATTCCCCGCTTCATTGGCAATTTCGGTGTGTCTAATTTACATCCCTCTGGTGACAGAGGGATGTAGTCTAGACATACCCCTAACAGACTAACTCGGCTACCTCCTGAAGCTCCTTGACAGACACAGAGACCCACAAAATGTGTCATCTGAAAGATGGGACGAGATCAAAACAATTACCTGCCCGCAGAGGTGTCCCAGGTCATTGGATAGGCACTGTCATGAGTGTCCTAAGGCTGTCCATGTCCTGCAGAGGCATAGAGACTTGGACAAGAATGCACTTGGGACTTCAGAGGTTTCTGCTGTCTCTTCCCCACCATCTTCTGATTTTTCCGTGTCGGAAATGTGAATGTTCCATCATTTGAATTGAGGACCCTGGTTTGCTGGATGAGGCCAGAGAAACTCCAGGGAAGGGGTGGCACAGATGGAACAGAGCCAGAGAAGTTTACCTGGAAAGATGGGGCACATTCTCTGAGAAGCTGGTAGTACAAATGGACCCTCTTTGAAGGGAAAAATATTTCCTAGAGCTGGGGGGAATAAAGTAAGCTCTTCAACAACTGAACCCAGCAAGTGATCATGGATCCAGGTTTGCATCCAGGGCAAACCAGATTCATCAATACTTTGCAAGCTAAACGGAGCCAAGAGCACTAGGTACAAATGCCCTGTTGCTGAAATAGCCAAAGGACCTGCTTTAGGCTTTTCCTTCAGCGCTCACCAAGGAGAAATCAGAAGTGGTCTTAGTTGCCCCTTCAATGGCCAGTAGACATTGGTCTATCAACTTCATTAAAATGTTCCCAAATCCAATTCCTGGTCTGTATCTCAGGGCCCAGTTTCTCAAGGGGATCTAAGCAAGTGAAACTTCGCAGCTTGGCGTTTGAAAGGAGGTTTCTAAAATGAAAGGAGTTACTCGTCTGGTCTCACTGGAACTCCATTAGCAGCAAGGAATAAACAACCACAACAGGACTTATTTCATGATCTGGTACAGAGACAGACCCATTCAGCATCAGGTAGCCAAAATCTCATATTCTGGAGTTTGTACAAGATGACTTCGATCGATATCAGTTTGCAGGCTAATACCTTCAAAACACACATTTCTGCACTGTCTTCAGTTCTGAGTATATGCAGAAAATCTTCCATTCCCCACTATGAGGACTCACGTTGCTTCATTACAGCATGTCAGCTACCCCGCCCTCCTAAAAGCACATATTGCTTGGTCTGGGGATTTGAACATTCTGCTCAGTGCTTTCATGCCGATGCCCTCTGAACCCATGAAATCAGTTTCATTGTCTCCAAATAACCTTTTGGAGCACTATCGCTTCTGCAAGAGGGGTGCCAGAGTGAGGAGTGCTCTCTGTTGATCCGTCCTGCTGCATCTTACACAAAGATAAGGTGCTTTTGAGACTGGATCACACCTTTCTTCCCCCAAGGGAATTCAATTGTTCACTGAGCACAAGAGAGCTCATTGCCTTCTTTTGTCTCCTCCAAAGCAGCCGCTGGGGAATTTGTGGGACGCAAGGCAAGCCTGAATGCTTTATCTGAAAGGAACAGAGCACGCAACAACATGGCCTTCTTGATCTGATTTCAGTGGAGGGGAAAAAAGAGGTGCTAAGACCCACGTGCTAATGGCAACGTGGAATGAAGGCTAGAGAAAGGGGTGAAAGGCAGCAGCAAGTAAGGGATGAGAACAAGGTTTCCATGGACCCAAATGCACAGAAGCAGAGGAGTTAATTGGACATTCACCCGAAACTTGATCGCCCATGAAAAATTTCGAGAACATCATTGTGGGAACTTGGGTGGGACTAAAGGCATCAGGAGAACAGCTGGCTACTGGCTACTATAGCTCAGCAATCAGCTCAGGTGACACTTACCAAGTCACGGTATCGGTTTAGCTGCTACCAGCTCCTTCTGCCGGGGCGGGGGGAGGAGGAGGGAAGCACTGTCAGAACTTTATCCCACATTCTGAAGTTGGTAAGCTGAAGGGCTGGGGTGAGAAAAATGTGATCTGTGGTTTTGGGAAGGGAAAACATGACTTTCTCCCTGAAGGCACTAAGCCTGCAATATTCTCTAGAGCTTGCTGTCTTTGCCAATCCCAGCAGACTGGGGCAAATGCATCGCTGAATAACTCCACTGACTCCGGGAATTCATCTGGTTTGTTGTGCTAATTTCATGGTGAAACGCTGCAGGGAGTAACACTAGAAAGGGATTGATTTTACAACCGGATTGTTAGCAAACCCTCATTGCACAACTGCTGGGTTATGTGCACAGCCTGTGTGTGGCGAGCAGGGCCGGATTAAGGGGGGAGCTAGCCAGGCAGTTGCCTGGGCGCCAACCTATGGGGGGCGCATGATGGCAGCTGTAAGGTGCGCAGTGCACCAGGGGGCGGGGCCACGCATGCGCCCGGGGGCAGAGCTGTGCATGCGTCACGCGCCTGCTGCCCGGGACACAGGAATGGCTCGAGCCGGCCCTGGTGGCGAGGTAAAGTTAACATGGGTTACCCACTGTTTTAAAATTAACATTTCCCTTCTCCAGGTTAGAGGGTCTTGCCTGGTGTCTGGCCCCTCTAAAGTGCGTTTGCCACTGGAGTGCTTTTAGCTGGGCTGCTGTCCTTATCGGTTAGTCGACTATTCTATGGTCCCCAGGGGCAGGGCCACCAGCCACTGTATCAGAGGCAGCAGTGTGGGTGCCTGGTGGGAGCGGGTCCACAAGGGGAGCCAGTTTAAATGCCAGCTCCCCTTGTGGGCCAGCTGCCTATCGCCCAGTGCTGCTGCCTCTGATACAGCGAGAGCTGGAACTGAGCCAGGATGCCTGCCCGCCTGACTCCTAATACACTTTAAATACAGAGCCACAGCAGGGGTAGGTTCTGGACCTGGCGCAAGCCACAACTGAGCCGGGTTGCTGGCCAGCCTGCTAAAAAATGTACTGGGGGGGAGGGAAGGGAAATGTGTGTAGTCTCTAGCATTAATCTACACGCTTTTGTTTATCGGTTAATCAGTTAATCAACTACACTATTACATCCCTACTCGGTACTTCACAAGGTCATTGCGAGGACAAACACATTAAAGACTCTCCGAGGGGTAGCCCTGTTAGTCTGTAGCTTTAAAAACGATGAGTAGTCCTATGTCACCTTAAAAAGTGACAAATATATACAGTATCATGAGCGTTCTTGGGCATGTCGCGTTATTGGATTTTAAGGGGAGCAGCCAGATCGCTGCTGCGCCCACAGGGTGTTTGCCCCAAAGTCTATACAAAGTGGGCCATGTGAGGTGTCAAATGAAAGCGAATGTTCTACTGATTCTATGTGTGCTACTTGCGTACTTGTGTGATGTCTGTATGTGGAGTGATGAATATGGACTCGGTGCTTGTACGGTGAATGTTCTCTGCCTGGGAGGGAGCAATGGACCTGGACTGCCTGTTGTAAAGGATTGTTTAGTCAATGACTATGCTAATTAGCACGGCTGCAGGGACCAGGATTCTTAGGGTACGTCTAAACTACATGGCTCCGTCGACGGAACCATGTAGATTTGTTTTTTTGGCAAAGGGAAATGAAGCCGAGATTTAAATAATCGCGACTTCATTTAAATTTACATGGCTGCCGCGCTGAGCCGACAAACAGCTGATCCTGTCACTCCCCTGTCGAAATGAAAGCCTTTTATCAACATCTCCGGTAAACCTCATCCTACGAGGCATAACGGGGATGTCGATAAAGGGCTTTCAAGTTGGCGTGGGAGCGTCAGACTAGCGCGCTGAGCCGACAAACAGCTGATCAGCTGTTTGTCGGCTCAGCGCGCTAGTCTGACGCTCCCACGCCAACTTGAAAGCCCTTTATCGACATCCCCGTTATGCCTCGTAGGATGAGGTTTACCGGAGATGTTGATAAAAGGCTTTCATTTCGACAGGGGAGTGACAGGATCAGCTGTTTGTCGGCTCAGCGCGGCAGCCATGTAAATTTAAATGAAGTCGCGATTATTTAAATCTCGGCTTCATTTCCCTTTGCCAAAAAAACAAATCTAGGCCCAATACACATCTGAGGAATGCTTCGGAAACCTGCAAACCAGTCAGTAGCTCATGGCTGCTAGCATGTGAATCATGCCATCATGTGACCCGCTCCCGTTTGGGAGACACCAGAGATATATAAGTGCCACGAGGCAGACTCCATTTTGTCTCCAATCTTGCTACTGATCCCAGATGCAGCCTAGCTGGGGACAGAGAGCCAGGCAGGACTGCTGACCCACCCTGACATAGGATGTACGCCAGAGACTTCTAAGCTAGTAGTTTGTAACATCTCTGCGAAGAGCCTTCATCAAGAACTTGCTGATTGATGTACGTCATGTATTCTCCTTAGCAATCTTACTCTCAGCCTTTTCTTTCGTTAATAAACCTTTAGGTTTTAGATTCTAAAGGGTTGGCCCAGAATGATCTTGTGGGTAAGATCTAAAGTGTAAATTGACCAGGGATTTGTGGCTGGTTCTTTGGGACCAGGAGAACCAGTTCAGGGTAGGTGGGATTGGGTCCTATAACCCCTCCCCTGTGTGTAGGCCTGGGGCTGATTGTGGCACACGGGGAGCTGGGGTCCCTGAGGGGTTTTGCTCGTGAGGCTTTCTGCTGTCCGGATTGGCAGCTGAAGCGCTCTGGGTGACTGGTTTGCGGCCTGTTTGGGAAAGGTCTCCAGTTAAGGGCTGTAAGTAGCCCTGGTTTTGAGCATTTCACCTTGAGCGGATGCCCTTAGCTGTGCCCAGACCCGGCCTGGTCCGTCACAGGGCAGAACCCACTTCTTCAGCTGAGCTTGAGTGGAGGAGAAAGGGGGGACACGATTCAATGAAAGACGGCGAGCTGTTGAGATACCATGGCAATGCTTTCATTCCTCTTACCCGTTCCCATCATCTCCACCATTCCGAGTCACACCAGGGGAAATCCCATGCTGTCCTGCAGCTGTAACTGATCAAGTGTAAACAAGCACAAGAGTGCTGAGAACTTAAAAACTGGATGGTGAGAGCCAGCCGATCCCAGGGAATCTAAGAGGATGAAACAGGAAGCAAGGGGTATTTCAGAAGAAGCTTAGAGGGTAATCGGGGGGGGGAGGGGAGGGAGGGAGAGAGCTGCAGGAAAGCCCACCACAGGTGCTGGAACTAGGGGTGCCAGGGATGTGGTAGCCCCGTAATTTGAAGCGGTTTCCATCATATGCAGAACTTAGTTTTGTTCAATGGCTTTCAGCACCCCCATTATCCAAACTGTTCTCACTCCCATGGAGCCTGCCATTGGAGGAGGCCTGAGTTGCCTGGTATCCTATGGAAGAGGGGAATAAATACACAGTGTAGTGAAAGATACACAGTCTGGGATATGTTTGTGACTATGAAGCCATCTGAGCGAGGCGGGCAGTGTGGGTCACCAGGGGCTGGCCGCGACAGGGATGGCTGGAGAGCTCTGTTCGCCTGCCTTTTGGCGTCTGCGTGGAATGCAGTACGTTGGCTTTAACTGACTTCAGAGCTGTCTTCTGAGGGACCTTCCTTCCTTCTGTGCCCCACTGCCAATATTCAGCAGAGATGTTGGAACCCCCTGGGGCTAAACAGGAATGAAAGATGTTGTCTAGGCATCCTCTCTGAAGGGCCTTCCGCCCAGAATTTACTCCGGCCTGGATCTGGTGACTTTCCCGGCTGTCTGCCAGGAATGTCTCTTTGCCCAGGCTTTTGGAGGCAAGAGGGCTGGGACAGAGGCTCTTGTTTGCAAGAGATGGGCGGTATTGTCAGGCTTGATTTTGCTGTGCTTGGTTATTTTTGGCTTGGCAGCGTGCAGCAGCTGTGGTTCTGCTTTTGTTGATTGCGTTCCTACATAGTGGCAGAAGCCCCCACGGCCTCGCACGGGTGCTTGTTTGAACACACATTGTTTTCCGTCAGAATGAATGGCTGCAATGTTAGGCTGAACATCAGTAATCAGGACAGAGATGTTCTTTCCATTCAGTCAACTCGATCAGCAGTTTTCAAACTGTCTTTTCTCTTGACCCAGTTGAAGAAAATTGGTGATGTTGCGACCTACCAATCTGACTGTAGTGCGGACTCCGGGGTGGGGCTGGGGATGAGAGCTTTGGGGTACAGGAGGGGGCTCCAACTTTGGTGGGGGGGGTCAGGGCTGGGGCAGGAGGGGCTTACCTTGAGCCACTCCTCAGTTCATGCTTTGTGGTGCAGCGGGGGGAGGGCGGGGGGCGAAGGCAGCTTCCTGCCTCTCCTGGCCCTGCAGACCATGCTGCCCCCAGAAGCAGCCAGCAGCAGGTTCCCAGCCAATGGGAGTGCGGAGCTAGTGCTCAGGGCAGAGGCAGTGAGAAAAGCTTTGTGCGCTCTCCCACCTAGGAGCTGGGCTTGCTGCCGGGTACTTCTGGGGCGCAGCGCAGTCTGCAGGGCCAGGACAAGCTAGGAGCTGCCTTAGCCCCCACTGCTCACCTGATCCCCCTCCAGCAGCGAGATCCAGCGCCCGACACTCCACCACCCAGTCCTGGGTTGAGACCCACAGTTTGAAAGCCACTAGGCTAGCCCTTGCATCATGACTGAACGTTAAGTCCCACCAATTTCAGGTTAAGCACGTGCAACTGGGACCTCTGCTCCTTGCTCACCACAGGATTTGCTTTAAAACTGGGGAAGTCACAAGGCCAGCCAAGCTTGACGTCCCCTGCACACGCACGAGCAAACAGACACAGATGTCTTCTTCAGAGGGTGTGAGCGCCACCAAAAACTTCAGCATTCCGAAAGCGAGAGAAGAAAAGCCAAAATGGGAGAAGCCTGCCTGCCTGCCTGCCGTGCTAGGAGCCCAAGCACAACAGCGTAAGAACCAAAGGAAAATCCAACGGTGAGTTGCAACTGAACAGTCTCATTCTACAGTGCCAAGAAAGAAATATAGACACTGAAAATGTTAGATCGCTACAACTGAAAGAATGTTAAATATCTAATTTAGTCGAAGAAGTGACGAGTAACTCAGAGCTTTGAGGAGAAGCCTGGAGGTGTGTAAGAGGTTTGATTTAGAGCAGTGGTCACCAACCAGGAGATCGGGATCTACTGGTAGATCTTGGAACCGCTGACAGGTGATCCTGAGAGGTTTGGCCAGGAGGCTGTCAAGGGCCAGCCCTTCATCTGCCCCTCTCAGCACTGCCATGCTGCTCCTGCCCTCTGCCTTGGAGGTACCCCTCACCTCGGGAGCCCCCTGCTTGCTGTGCAGGGCATGGGAAAAAGAGGAGGGGGTGCTGATGTCAGGGTGCCCCTCCCTCCATCCTGTACCCCATCTCCACAGAGCAGAAGGGGCAGGTATGGAGAGAGGTTGCTGGCTGGTTTGGGGAGTGTTGCGGGGCCAGTGTAGGTAGGGGTGAGCCTGCCTTAGCCCCCTGCACCACCACCCAGAAGCTATCTGTGGTAAGCGGTGCCCAGTTGGAGCCTGCATTCTGACCCCCAGCCCCAGTCCTGAACCCCTCCTGCACCCCAAGCCCCTGCCCCCAGCCTGATAAAAGTGAGTGAGGAGGGGGAGGGAGGATGCAGTAAGCAGGGGGAAGGCCTCAGAGAAGGGGTGGGAAGGAGATGGGGCAAGGGTGTTTGGGTCTGAGGTAGATCCTGGATTGCACTTAAATTCAAAAAGTGATCTCATGCTTAAAAATGGTTGGAGACCATTTAGTGGGTTTTAAGAGCTCCTAGACACGGCAGTTTTAAGGATATTGTTTGTAAAGTAACTGTGACGGCACGTTGGGGGTTCCCCGTCTCCTGCACCCCGAAATGGCACAAACAGACTGCACCAGCCAGTGGAATTGAGGGTGGTTTATTGCTCCTCCAGCACAGCGCAGCACAGATGTAATCTGGTTACAGGAACTGGGCTAGGATGCCTCAGGCCCCCTTGAGATGGGGGAGACTGGGCCCCTAAACTCCAGCCCCTTCCCCTAGGCTCTCCTCCATGCCCTCCGACAGCCAGCAACCAACTCACTAACTTCCAGCCCTGCCCCCCAGCCAGGGCAGCATCCACCTTCCTTTGTTCCTCTCCATGGGGGGTGTCTGGCCACTGGTTCAACAAGTTTGGCATTACCTCTGCCTAGTGAGGTTTTCCCTGCTGGGTCTTGCTGGGTACAGCCCAGCAAGTACCCCCACTACGTCACAGTAACACTTACCTAGTCAGTCACTATTTCTAACCCTGGTGCTCCTCTGCGTCTAGCTAGTCCAGCACAGAAAGGTTACTCTTTTATTTCTTCTCTCATGATGCTCATCCATTCATGCTGTGAAAGTGTCGCTATACAAACAGGAAGAGCTTGACACAGCTCATAGTTACTGGTTTGGTTCCATTCCTGATTGACAAGCATCAAAAGCTACGATTGGACTCTTTGATGAAAGCCTACATGAAACCAAACACACAGGTATTGGACGCACATCTCTCACAAAACTGCTACTCTCATCTTCATGGTTATTGGTGCTCTTGATGGAGAGGCCAACAACTCCACAGAACTGAATCTTGCATTACTGCTTTATGTGCCGTAGCTGCTGTGTGTGTAGAAAACTTTATTCTCCAGGTTCTCAAACAAATTAGTGCTTTCCACAAGCATTATATTTGCTTAAATAATGTCATGATTGGTTTTCCTTAGTACACTGCTTTATTGACAAGTTCAATAAGCTTGAGGCTTGACAAATTAGATTTTTTACTGCTGCAGGTAAAATATTGCTTGCTTGATATAATCTTTATAATACAAAGCTGTAAAATTATCCAAAATGTCTCATTTTGCGGTTAAAAAATACAAGTTGCTATATGCCACAGAATTATGCCTCCTAAACCTGGAAATGTATAATTTAGCCCATTAAAGCCATTCTAGCAGTTAAAATGAGCGGCCAGAAATGTTTCCCTCTCCTTTAACACACTTCTGGGGTATTCCCATTTTCTGCCATGGCCTTTGTCTGAGCTGCTCTCAGCACTTTTTGCAAAGCCCTGTACCATCTCCTTTGCCTCCAGTTTCTGAGCACTGATGAATAAGGGCTCCAACCTGCTCTCAAGGAAGTCAATGGCAGAACTTCCAATGACTTCAGTGGTGAAATACACAGTCCACAGAGCAGCTGTGTATGTTCACCTTCTTTTGTACACCTTGATAACCTACCTGCCCACTCCAAAGCCCAGCTTTAGGTGTGCAGGCAGAACCCTATGTAAAAAATCTGGACCTATGTTCATGTATACACACACACTCGAGCAATCCTACAAGAAGAAGTCATAGTGCTGGTATGATAGCTAAAAAGGCAAAGGGCATTGATTTCAGTTTCAGACTACAAAGGATTAGACTCATAGACTTTCACATCAGAAGGGACCCTCATGATCTTCTAGGCTGACTTCCTGCACATTTATAATACAACAGTGACCATAACACCTGAACATCGTCCTTTCCCATAACTCGCTCCCCCCCTTTTTTTTTTTTTTTGGTCAGTCATAAGCTGTGATGGAAAGACAAAGGAATAAGCTCCAGGGTTGATGTGAGCAACTATTTTTGACAGAGCTGCCCGTTTAGGCCGGCAGTAAATTCAGATTAACGAATGTAAACTTTTGGGGCAGAGAGTCTGTCTTTCTATATGTCAGCACAGCACCTAGTATATGGCTCCCAACCTCACGGAAGACTTTAAGAGCTATACAAACAATGAGTAAGGGTGTGAAGCCCAAAAGGACATAAGCAAGCACTCCTACTGCTGTTAATTTCATAGAATCATAGAATACTAGGACTGGAAGGGACCTCGAAAGGTCATCGAGTCCAGTCCCTGCCCTCATGGCAGGACCTAGTACTGTCTAGATCATCCCTGATAGACATTTATCTAACTTACTCTTAAATATCTCCAGAGATAGAGATTCCTCAACCACCCTAAACAATTTATTCCAGTTTTTAACCAACCTGACAGTTAGGAACTTTTTCCTAGGCTGCGTCTAGACTGGCATGATTTTGCGCAAATACTTTTAAGGGAAAAGTTTTTCCGTTAAAAGTATTTGCGCAAGAGAGCGTCTATACTGGCAGGTGCCTTTGTGCAAAAGATTTGCTTTTGCGCAAAAGCATCCGTGCCAGTGTAGACGCTCTCTCGTGCAAGAAAGCTCCGATGGCCATTTTAGCCGTCAGGCTTTCTTGCGCAAGAAATTAACTTGTCTGTCTACACTGGCCCTCTTGCGCAAGAATACTTGCGCAAGAGGGCTTATCCCTGAGCAGGAGTGTCGGAGTATTTGCGCAAGAAACACTGATTTTGTACAGTACAAAGTCAGTGTTCTTGCACAAATACTCGTGGCCAGTGTAGACAGTGAGTGTTCTTGCACAAATCCTCGTGGCCAGTGTAGACAGGCAGCAAGATTTTGCGCAAAAGCAATTGCTTTTGGGCAAAATCTTGCCAGTCTAGACGCAGCCCTAATGTTCAACCTAAACCTCGCTTGCTGCAGTTTAAGCCCATTGCTTCTTGTTCTATCCTCGGAGGCCAGGAAGAACAAGTTTTCTCCCTCCTCCTTGTGACACCCTTTTAAGATACCTGAAAACCGCCATCAAGTCTCCTCTCAATCTTCTCTTTTCCAAACTAAACAAGCCCAATTCTTTCAATCTTCCTTCATAGCTCATGTTCTCTAGACATTTAATCATTCTTGTTGCTCTTCTCTGAACCTTCTTCAATTTCTCCACATCTTTCCTGAAATGTGGCACCCAGAACTGGACACAATACTCCAACTGAGGCCTAATCAGAGCAGAGTAGAACGGAAGAATGACTTCTCATGTCTTGCTCACAACACACCTGCATCACAACACAATGCATCCTAGAATCATGTTGGCTTTTTTTGCAACAGCGTCACACTGTTGACTCATATTTAGCTTGTGCTCCACTATAACCCGTAGATCCCTTTCTGCCGTACTCCTTCCTAGACAGTTCCCATTCTGTATGTATGAAACTGATTGTTCCTTCCTAAGTGTAGCACCTTGTATTTGTCCTTATTAAACTTCATCCTGTTTACCTCAGACTATTTCTCTAATTTGTCCAGATCATTTTGAATTATGACCCTATCCTCCAAAGCAGTTGCAACCCCTCCAAGCTTAGTATCATCTGCAAACTTAATATGCATACTCTATGCCGATATCTTAATCGTTGATGAAGATATTGAACAGAACCGGTCCCAAAACAGACCCCTGCGGAACCCCACTTGTTATGCCTTTCCAGCAGGATTGTGAACCATTAATAACTACTCTCTGGGAACGGTTATCTAGCCAGTTATGCACCCACCTTATAGAAGCCTCATCTAAGTTGTATTTGCCTAGATTATTGATAAGAATATCATGCGAAACCATATCAAATGCCTTACTAAAATCTAGGTATACCATGTCCACTGCTTCTCCCTTATCCACAAGACTTGTTATCCTATCAAGTTTCACCTGACCCTGAGAGAAAGGAGAAATTGCACATACAGGCAGTCCCCGGGTTACATACAAGATAGGGACTGTAGGTTTGTTCTTAAGTTGAATTTGTATGTAAGTCGGAACTGGTACATATTGTAGGGGAAACTCTAGCCAAACATTTCTCCAGAGCTCAGTTTTATTCTCCCACACCTCACTTCCCTCAGTCCTTTAGTCTCAAGCTGAGGTGTCTGCTGAGAAAAGCCGCTCCGCGTCTCCCTGGTCTGCTGGGGGGAAGCAGCTAGTGCGGGGTTGCCTCACCCCGTTTGTAAGTAGGGATCCGATGTAAGTCGGATCCATGTAACCCGGGGACTGCCTGTATAAGGGTGTGTCTGCACTGTACCTGTAGCTTAAAATAAGCTATGCAATTTGAGCTACGCAAATTATGTAGCTTATTTCAAGTTTCAAAATTTGGCACTGTCTACAGACTACTCATTTGGAAATACATCGCTATTCCAAAACGTCCCTTACTCCTCGTGGAATGAGGTTTGCAGGGATGTTGGAACAGCAAACCCATTATGTCCAAATAATGGGCACAAGATGCAGAATAGCTATTTCAAGATACCTCTGGTATCTCTGTGTAGACATAGCCTAACTGTATGTTACCTGGCAACTTGCCGCTGGGTTAGAAACAGGCACTAATCACAAATGGATGTGTAGGATTAACCCCTACACATTGGCTGTGTTTACACTGGCAAGTTAGTCCAGAAAATCAGCCGCTTTTCCGGAAAAGCGTCCTGCCAATCTAGACGCGCTTTTCCGAAAATGCTTTTAACGGAAAACTTTTCCGTTAAAAGCATTTTCGGAAAAGCGCGTCTAGATTGGCAGGACGCTTTTCCGGAAAAGCGTCCTGCCAATCTAGACGCGCTTTTCCGAAAATGCTTTTAACGGAAAACTTTTCCGTTAAAAGCATTTTCGGAAAAGCGCGTCTAGATTGGCAGGACGCTTTTCCGGAAAAGCGTCCTGCCAATCTAGACGCGCTTTTCCGAAAATGCTTTTAACGGAAAACTTTTCCGTTAAAAGCATTTCCGGAAAATCATGCCAGTGTAGACGTAGCCATACTGTAAACCCTATCCTGGGCAAATCCTTGAAGCATTATATCTGGCTCAGAGATCTCGGAGTTCTGCCTTTTTTAGAAGTTTGGCAACATTTGCACGGTGTGTCATACCCAACAAGTGTTCTGCATTTGACTCAGTGTTTGTATGCAGTCTTGTAGCTGTGTTAGTCCCAGGGTATTAGCAAAACAAAGGGAGTAACAATTTCTTTGGACAAACTTCTGTTGGCGAGACAAGTTTTGAGGTACAGAGCTCTCTGGGAAAAGTTCAGTGTCACAACTAAATACAAGATTAAATGAATAAATTAGTCCAAATTGTTTAGCACATATTCTAAGGGACAATTCAAGGTGAAGTGGCCTGTTAACACCCGTGTAGGGCCAAAAATAAAGTGTGCAGGGGGAGGGGCTAGCAGGTTTCAGATTGTGCAATAAACCATAAGCCTGGTATCTTTATTAAGAACATACCTTTTAGTATTTAGCAAAGTTATGACTTTTAAGATCCCAGACTCATCTTCTGAAAGTACTGTGCAGGTTTCTTTTGAGGATGAGGACTGATAGGTCAGATATGGAGGGATCACTTTGTGATAAACGTTCACCCATAGGTAATCCAGTGTTTTTCTGACTTTTATCGTTTTCTTATGTGAGCTCACTTGAGAACTTAGTGATTGGTGTCATGTAATACAGTGGATAAAGTACACCACATGTTGAGATTGGCACATGTAGGGCCCATGGACCTTGAAAGGTATGTTGAGGGGGGTATTGATCATTACAGTGGTGTTGATATGTTGGTTCTGCATCTGTATTGGCAGGGTTGGCGGGGAGCTTGTGTCTCATGATGATCTTAGAGATGTTGGGGGTGTTTTAAGGAGGAAGGTTCAGGAAAGATTTCCTTCAGGATAGGGTCCCCAGTGAATATGTCTTGTACTTGTTACAACCCCATCCTGAAAGGATGTTGAACATTTAACCTGGATTGTATTAGGGAGAGTGCAACTAAGGAAGTTTCCACATTGTTTTGTCCAACCCTCCCAATTTTGTGTCAGCAAGAGTAGATTACATGCCAATGATTCATCTACCAGCTCACTTGAACTAATGAGCCATTTCCTCAGCTTTGGGTCTCCAGATGGCTTGAATCGTCACAGAGGATCCTTGCTAAGGGAAATGTCTTTTTCCTGAAGTGCCATGGTGGCTTCCTTGCAGAAGTACACCGCTAGAACAAGTAGTGACTGGATTGCACACCCCTAATCAGAAAGCATATGAAACCGAGGGGTAAGACCAATAAAGCAAGTTGATTTTGTTCTTTTCCTTACTCAAAGGTAGTGACTCGTATTATTATTATACTCCAAATGGGTAATAAGTCATGATGAAGATTTCCACTGTTATTAGTGATGAAGTGCTGGGAACACATAACTGTTGCTGCATAATCAGTTTAAAAAAAATCAGATACTTCCAGCTAAGCAGCTGGTTAAATAGTTGGAATTGCTGTTTTTATTTCTACCCAGCACATGACAAAGCTGAGGAAAATGCCTAGCAGCACTTTCTACATTTTCAGCTGGACTTTCTCGGCCTTGTGCTAACTGGCTGTGTTCTCCCTCACTCTTCACCAATCCTGCTTTTCTGCAGCCTGCCCCAATCCCCACAATTCCCTTCACTTTTCCTTTAGCTTATCCCTGCCTAAGTAAACGCACTCCCCCACAAAAATCATAGAACATGACACTTGCTGCAATCACTTTGTGTGCATCTTGTGTATTTAGAGTGTTAGCTCTTCAGAGCAGGAATTGACTACTATTCTGTGTTCACACAATGCCGCTAGCCCTAGGCATTGCTGTAATAAACCTGATGAATTACTGTTCAAAAGTACATGTAGAATGACAGCTGCGAACAATTTGTCAGAAAACTGGGTGCCATAATTCTGTATTTTACAGCTCAAACTTTGCCACGAACTTGTCCCTTCATGTGCTCAACTACATGATTTTTCACTGTGTTCTTTAGCTGGATCAAATGTGCACGCAACTCATCTTAAACTATTTTCAAATGCTGTTACATGGTACACTATGTGCAAGGCACCAAATGTACATCAAAGATGGCAAGAAGAGGAAAGGTGGGAAAAGCATCAGCACAGGGTTAAGGTACAACTCAAAGATCTATTCTTCCAGATACTTAGCATACTTTCTTGCCACACAACTGCAATCTGGAAAAAAAGGTAGCTTCTCAGGCTGGTCTGCGTGGTGACAGGATTCCTTCTTGATCCTACTGAAGGATCATCTAACACCATGGGGGAATATAGGAGACGGATTATTATAGCGGCGCCTTTAGCACATGAAAACAGAATCTCCTCCGTCACCCCCAACTAGGGCCTTTCAGTACTGCCTCTAGCGCAGACTGTGTACTTTCACTGGGTTAGCCTTTGTGCAGATAGCCAATACTCCAAGAGGCCTCCAACTTCTCCTTTCACCCAAACTTTCAGAGAAAGTCCTTTCTATCTCTCTTGCCTGTGGCTTAGATCACAATGTGGGTCACCACACAGGAAGGCAGAGTCTGAGACTTAGCATTCCCAGCCCTTTAGGGGTAGGCCAAAGTGCACCTAACCTTGCCCACTCCCAGGAGTAGGAAACCCAGGGCATAGGTATTAACTCAGGGAGTTATAGCAGGGGCATGGCCCCCAATTGGGGAGGGGGGGAAGAGAGGAGGGGAGAGAGGAGGGCAACACAGGGCTCTAGGAGAGAGAAGGGCGGCAAGGAGGGGACAGCACAGAGCCCCAGAGGAGAGGAAGGGCAGTATGGGGCCCTCAGGGGAGGGGGGAAGGACCGCACAGGGGGCACCATCCCCCATGGAAGGGGAGACCCGAGTAGCGTGAGGGGGGTGCTCCAGGGGCAGCACAGGCCCCCAGGGGGTGACACGCGGGGCACTGTGGTGTCGGGGGGGGGGGGACAGGCGCCC